GTTTCACCCATATATTTACTTTCCCACAGGCTGCCACTTTTTAAAAGCCATAAACCCTGATCCTTTGTCTAATCACGTCTCTACAAATTTAAGATGTAAGGCTCCACAGGCTTCACCAGCCCCATCACAGAACCTCAAAGGGGAGGAGGAAATTTTTCCTCTGCTTTGCATAAGAGTGAGCCCCCACCCCGCCGAAGAGATGTTACTGAAGGATTCTTACAGGAAGTGGGAAAGTGGAATAGATGATCTCAAAGATCCCTTAATTACAGGAAGTGGGAAAGTAGAATAGATAATCTCAAAGATCCCTTGATCTCGGAGAGGCTGTGATGAGAGGTGGCTTGAAGCCAGATCTAAGTTCCCCGTCCAGGAATTGAACCTCCTTTGCCTGGAAGAAAAGCAGGAATCCTAACCACTAGACCATCAGGGGCTAGAGGCTAGAAGCAAAATTTCCCTGGCCCTTGTGCCCATTGAAAAATGCCATTTCTCAAGAAGGCAAAACTGTAAAAACAAGTACAAAGTTTATTATTAATAACACAGTACAAGTAGGAGAGCGCTCAGACAGAGAAATGGTTTGTTACAGAAGCAAAGCACCCGGAGAGAAAGGTGTGGGCGTGCTCCCCAGTAAGGAGGAGCAGGAAAGAGGTGATTGGTGGTGTTCAGTTGCCTAATCGTGTCCCACTCTTCCCGACCCCATGGACTGCAGCACGCCAGGCCTCCCTGTCCCTCACTATCTCCTGGAATTTGCCCAAGTTCATGTCCATTACATCGGTGATGCCATCCAGCCATCTCATCCTCTGTTGCCCTCTTCTTCTGCCAGCAATCTTTCCCAACATCAGGGTCTTTCCCTAGTAAGGAGGCACAGTAAAGAGGTGGTTAAGTTCACTCAAATAGGGCAGTTCTTCCAGTTCTTTGTTTCAGTTCAGTTCAGTTCAGTTGCTCAGTCATGTCCCACTCTTTGTGACCCCATGAATCGCAGCATGCCAGGCCTCCCTGTCCATCAACAACTCCTGGAGTTTGCTCAAACTCATGTCCATCGAGTCGGTGATGCCATCCAGCCATCTGTCGTCCCCTTCCCCTCCTGCCCCCAATCCCTCCCAGCATTAGGGTCTTTTCCAATGAGTCAACTCTTTACCTTTGGCCAATTATCTGGCTTCTTTTTTCATATCTGCCCTGCCCTAGGACCCACACTAACATGCGTGTGCTACTTTTTTTCCAAGATGGATTCCAGCCCAGAGGCCTCTGGGGGATAGGGAGAAGGGGCTTTGGCATTGAGTAAGCCCCGGGAGTTGGTGATGGACAGGAAAGCCTGGTGTGCTGCAGTCTACAGGGTCTCAAAGAGTCAGACATGACTGAGCGACTGAACTGAACTGAACTATGAAGTGGTGCCCCCTCCTTTTTGACCCCCAAGGAGTCTTCCTGCACATGTGCAGCATCTCCCTTGCCCCCAGGAGGGGACATATGTGACCTCTTTATCTTTTTCTCAAACAGGGTTTAGCCCCTCTCTGTCCCTACCATAGCCATTATCCTCAAATGTCCACAGGAAACAAAGCCTGGTTATTTATCCTGTTTCTATTTCGAAGTGCAAACAGGAGGCTTATTATAAACGCCTAAACTGGAGCCCACCTACCTCCTGTCTCAGGAAATGCAAACAGGAGGCTAGTTTGTCTGGCCTAAAGCCCATCTATCTCCTGCCTCACCCTCTCCCCCACCTTTGCCACCTAGATGAAGCACATTTAACCGTTTAGGGTCAGAAACACTGAGATAGGTGGGGTCTAATGCTTGCAGGTCAGAAAGTGAAAAAACTTCAGCTGCTGGCTAGACCTAATGTTCCTCACTGAACATAAACAAGTGCTCACAGAATATAAGCAAATATCAGACAAGGTCACTCTGTATTTGGAGCAAGACAGACAAGGAAGGCCACTTTGGAACCACAAATATGACTCAACATTCACCTCCTCTAACAGGAGTGGGTCCTGCTTCTCTTTCAAAGGCAACTCCGGCCTGGCTTGAATTCTCCTTTCTTCTGGATAAAAATTATGAAGATACCTAATTACTGAATTGTCCTTGCTTCTTAACTGTGTCCAATCCAAAAATGTTCCTCACTTTCTTAAGCCCCTCCTTAGAGGAAACCAGTACAAACCCAAACTCTACAATAAGCACCTCCCAACTTCCTCTTACTAAGATACCTTGTGGCTTCTCTCAATGCATTCTCCCTTCAAACAAGAATTCTCTAAGCAAGAATCCTGGAGTGGGTTGCCATTCCTTTCTCCAGGGGATCTTCCCAACCTAGGGGTTGAACCCCGGTCTCCTGCATGGCAAGCTGATTGTTTACCATCTGAGTCACCAAGGAAGCCCTGCCGCAAGCTAAGTAACTCTAATCCTTTCTGACTGTGGGTATGTTCCTGGTAGGATCTGATCATGGGCTTTATCACAGTCTTAGCTTTTTTCTGCCCAATCCAATGATGCCCAGACAGAGAGAAGCAAGGATTTTAAGGGCTACCTAGAAGGTTCTGTGGTCCTGAAACAATCTCACTTGGGAACTTAGTTTGCGGTTCAGAAAGAGAAAGAGGCTGAGGCAGGAATTAGGAAAGCTTGAGTAATTCTTCTTCCTCTGCCATCAACCCTTTCTGTGACTTTAGGCAAATCATTTCATTTTGATCTTTTTCCATTTTTTGTACAAGAAAAGACTAGAATATATGTCTAAGACTTCTTCCAACCTGAATATTTTAGGATCCAAACCCTACAGGCTCTCATACTCCCAGGTGAAAGTTTCCCTACACTAGTTATTTGTATAACACTGCCATCATTGTAGTCATATCTACATACCACTGATTCTGTTCAGTTTGTTAAGTTATTTTTCCAATTTTTTTCTTTAAATGAACTCAACTTACACTTAAATTTGCAAAGGAAAATTTACACCATTACTTGCTGGGAAATCAAGTATTGCTTGGTAGAAGTGGAAGAATTTCTACAACACACACATACACACACCCTAAAACAATGCTATGTAACTGTAGATGTGATTTACCTTTTTATTTTCTTTTGTGATTTACCTTTTGATAAGATTTTAAAAATGAAGCCTTCACCGTGTTTAAAAAAGGGAGATGTGCAAATGTCAGAAAAATGTTAAATACATCCTAGTCACCAACATACTTTCTCTTTAGTTTGAAACAAGACTCTCTCACTTTGCCTTTCAGTTCAATTCAGTTCAGTCACTCAGTCATGTGACTGTGACCCCATGGACTGCAGCACGTCAAGCCTCCCTGTCCATCACCAACTCCTAGAGTTTACTCAAACTCATGTCCATTGAGTGGGTGATTCGATCCAACCATCTCATCCTCTGTTGTCCCCTTCTCCTCCCGCCTTCAATCTTTCCCAGCATCAGGGTCTTTTCCAATGAGTCAGTTCTTCGCATCAGGTGGCCAAAGTATTGGAGTTTCAGTTTCAGCATCAGTCCTTCCAATGAATATTCAGGACTGATTTAAGATGGACTGGTTGGGAAAAAAAAAAAAGATGGACTGGTTGGATCTCCTTGCAGTCCAAGGGCTCTCAAGGGTCTTCTCCAACACCACAGTTCAAAAGCATCAATAACTTCAGCACTCAGCTTTCTTTATGGTCGAACTCTCACATCCATACTTGACTACTGAAAAAACCATAGCTTTGACTAGATGGACCTTTGTTGGCAAAGCAATGTCTCTGCTTTTTAATATGCTGTCTAGATTGGTCGTAACTTTTCTTCCTTCTTTTCTTTTGCCTTTCAGTGTAACTTAATGTCCTGTTTGGGGATTCCTTGGTGGCTCAGATGGTAAAGAATCTGCCTGCAATGCTAGAGACCTGGGTTCCATCCCTAGGTCAGGGAAGACATTTACATAAAAGTGAATCCTTAGATCCTTTCATTCACCCCCAAATGATTTATAAATGCCACATTTTAGGAAACAGTGCCCATCTTTTCTGCTTACTTTGGGATTATCCTTCTGTTCTTAGACTAAAGATAAATTCCTCAGGTTAGCTATCAAGTCTTTCCATGATTGCTCCCTAATTACCTCCTCCTTACATGGTATTAGTCACTCAGTCGTGTCCGACTTTTTGTGACCCCATGGACTGTAGCCCACCAGGCTCCTCTGTCCCTGGGATTCTCTAGGCAAAAATACTGGAGTGGGTTGCCACTTCCTCCTCCAGGAGACCTTCACAACTGTACATAAAGGAGACTTCATTAATGTGCATTAGAGGATATCCCAGGTTAACCTGTTACAGAAAACTGTCTCTTGAGTCTTTGAATTCTATACCGATTCTACACCTCTGGTGGTCGGCCCATTGTTTGCGTCTTTATTTAGGTTTTAAGGTGAATGACCTGGGGCTATTTGTTTCCATCAACCTGACTGCAAATCTAGAGGCACAGTTAAAATGTCTATTTTTCTTGCTATCCTCAGGAGAGACTGCTTCACATCAACTCTATGATTCTCATTCTTTTCAGCTTACAATACAAATAACATTATTTTTGGCAATCTATGTCTTTTAATAAAGCAGTGCTGAAAAATTAAATAGAAGAAAATTCAGCTGCCATATAGGCTATGCAAATGTTTGCTGGTGGTGGTTTTTAAGCTTGACGCATTAAATAAACTTTTATTGAGAGAATGTGCCCTCATACTATTTTTTCATAGTAGTCACAACATGTCATAGTGTATTTCTGTCCTTTGTCAGTCTCTTAACTTGGTCATACATTCTCGTGCACTCCTGTACCCCCATCTTGATAGAGCGCGCGCGACGGAATACAAACGAGGTGAAGGAACGCAACCGGCTCGTCTTATGCACGCGACCCTACCAGTGGAGCCCCGCCTTCTCCCCCGAACCCCCACGGCTGGTGGGCGGGGCCACGCGGTGACGCAGGCCGCACGTTTCCGGCCGGAGAAACCGTCGCGTTTCTGGGGTGACGCCTCAGCCGGCAGTTAACCACCGTGCTCGGAACCCCGGTATCGGCCACTTCCATCACCCGCGTCACCATGGGGGCCGTGCTGGGCGTCTTCTCCCTCGCCAGCTGGGTGAGTTCGGGATCTGGTGTCTCTGTTGGTCTTATGGCTTGGGGCGGGGGTGGGGGGGTGGGGTCAGCGATAGGGCTCCCCAAGCCGTGAGCCCCGAACGGGCCTGGGCCCCGGAGGCCCCGGGGTTGGGGGTCCGGCCCTGGACTGCAGAGGGTATATATATATCCCGGGAGGTCCAGGGTGAAATCCACGATGCGATGCGATCGGATGCGGCGGTTCTCCTTCTGCGTTTGCTGAGGAACGTAAGAGGCCAGGTCTCCATTGTTTACAATCTGATTGCCCCGCCCCCGCCAGCCTTCCGGCTCTGGACTCCTCTGGAGCTGGGGTGGGGGGACAACCCGGGTCTGGGCTCCCTGGGCCGGGGTCTCTGGTTCATTTCCAAGCGCCTTCTTAGGGTGGCGTCATTTATTTGGGCGGTGGGGCAGGGGGTGTGAGTGGATAATATATTTATCCCATAGCACAGGATTTGCCAAAGCTATAGAGTATGTGGCAGAGGTGAGATTTTTAACCAAGGCCTGGATGCGATCTGGCTCAAGGGAAGAAGGCCTTGTGGATTATTATTCAGAAATGGAAGTCATGGCCTGAACATTTTGGGGCCTCGTACAAGTCATATCTTTCTGGCATCCCTTAAGATGAGGAGCATCATCCTAGCACTCCTCACTTCCAGAGCTATTGTGCAGATGAAGTGAATAAATGGGTTGAATCACTTTGTAAATTGTAAACGTCATATTTGCAAAAGGAAAATTATGGTATCTATGGAAGAGAATATGCTGAGTTCACTCATACATTCTCTTCACAGGGGCATGATTCCTTGACATCATTTCCTTGTTTCCTAATTCCCCGACTGACTTAATTGGCCAAGGAGTCAATCTCAGCTCATTCCACTACCCTGTTTTAGGGACGGACTGTATTTCCATCCTTTAAGATTGTTGAACATAAAGCAAAAGAGCTGTTGGTCACTTAAGGGCCTAGATGACAGTGGCTTTCCAGTTTTTTGACCTTGCCCAAAATAAGAAATCTTACATGGTTTATTTAATACAGCTGTTTAGATACAAGCTTCATGAAATAATTCTTTGCCCTCTGCTGTACTTTTTTCTGTCACATTAAAAAAAAATCCTGGCCAGTTGATTTGTACAGTGTTTACAAAATAAGTATTTTGCAAATACTTACAGTACATTTACACAATTGCAGCATTTACAAAATAAGATTTAGGGGAAAATAGTTAGAAGGTCATTAATTAGGGAGTAAATTGATAATTTGAAACCTGAAACACATGGTGGATTTGATGTAAAGCCAAGATTTGAGTTGATGCTATCAAAGCATTTCTACCTATAAATCACTTTTATATTTTATTGATTTCTTTTGTTCAGTGGGAACAGCAAGTAATTCAGTGTATCAGGGAATGGAGTGAGTGAGGGGAAGAATAATAATAAAAGAAAAAGAAAGGTAAAGGGAGCCAAATCATGTAGATACCCTTTGGTCAATCTAAGGACTTTGGCTTTTACTCGTAGGTGATTATGGGGATCCATTAGAGAAAAGAAGAATGATGTGAACTGACCAGAGTTTTAACAGGATTGCTGTGTGGAGAATAGATGGTAGAAAAGAAAGGGTAAAGCTATGTAGAGGAGGAAAAACTTTGATTCCATTTTCTGTGGGTTAGTGGTTGGGGCCTGCAAATTAAACTAAGACAAGACAAATCAGCAAGAAAAAAAAGTTGGGTACTTGTGCAACCCACATACATGCAGGAGTTCTCAGGGATGAATAACTCAAAAGAGTGGTTAGAATATAGGACTTATTATATGCCTTTCTTAATGGGTGGAGGTGTGCAGGAAAGGGCTTCCCTGGGATAAATAAAGAGGTTTCTTTAGGAAAGGTGAATGGGTTTTTAGGAGAACAAGCAGGAGATAAGAAAGTGTGTGATAGTACTTGTTTATGTGAGTGCAGAGGTCTTTTTATCTTCTTCAAGGCAATAAAACTCCCTTGAAGGGAGAATTTATGGCAGTTGCTTCCTTCAGTCAGATGAGAAATGCTTTGAGAGGGCATTTTTTTTCCCTGCGTCTTTTGAATCTCACATGTCTTCATCTTAAAATAATTTTTATACTACCTCAGGGTTCTGAATAGCAGCAGGTTGCTATAGCAGCAAGAGAGGAGCTATTGCATTTATTGCATTTAATCCAGGTGAGAGATGATAGTGGTGACTGGACCAGTGTGATAACTGAGGATGCTATGAGAGTAGCTAGATTCCGGATACATTTTGAGGTTAGAGCTGATGTGCTGATAAATGGAATGAGAGTTTTGGGAAAAGTCATCAAGGATGACTGCAAGGTGTTTGACCCGGGCAACAGGAAGAGTATGCCTGGGTCCTTGGACTCTTTAATCAATAAAAATTAGTAAGAGGCCAGATGAGAATTCCAGGCAAGCAGGAGGAAGAAACAACAAGCAACGGGTGCCCTTGCTTGCTCCCAAGGGGTGGAGGAGCTGGTTCCTTAAATGGGGTGTGGGTAGGGACGGATCAGTGGGTTGAGTAAGAGATGTGGCTGAAGTGGTCTGCTCGCCCCCCCCCCCACCCCACCCCACCCCCCCACCCCCACGGCCTTGGTGCTGTCACATGCAGGGACCATGCACAATACCCAGCTCAGAAGGAGCAGTTGCTTTGTGGCCCTGTTGTATGTTATTGTTCACGCAGGCAGTTATTTTTCATCCCTTACAGTTTCTTTGTATTCTGCTGCTCAAGGGTTGGTCTAGGTGCAAGCACTCTGGGAACGGGTCCCCAGGCTTATCTCAAATAGAGTTATTTACGGAGATAGGTGTGGAGCCTTATACCAAGGTCACAGATGAGGAGCTCCACACCAAGGTCATCTCTGGAACTGTCTGAGCCCCGTAGCAACTGTTGCCATGAACCCCCCTGATCTAAACCAGCCTGCTCCCTCACCCCATATTAGGTACAAATACCCACCCTAATACTCACCCTCTAGCATCCTAACCAGTCACCTAATGCCACCCTTCCAGCAGGATTTTTTTTTTTTGTCTTCAGGCTATAAAAGTGAAAAGTAATAGTGTTAGTTGTTCAGTTGTGTCTGATTCTCTGCAACCCCATGGACTGTAGCCTGCCAGGCTTCTCTGTGCATGGAGTTCTCCAGGCAAAATTACTGGAGTGGGTACCATTCCCTTCTCCAGGGGATCTTCCCGACCCAGGGATCAAACCCAGGTCTCCTACTAACTCACGAAGGGGTCGGCTCTCCCTTGAACCGGCCCGCTCTTCTACCAGTTGGCTCCCCCTGATCTCCCTGTCAGGACCTTGGCCCTCTGTGCTAACAGCCAGTCTCCCGCTCCAGTCAACTCTCTTCTCTCATTCTGTCTCATGTCTGGAAATTCTTTTCCAACCTGCACACAGATCATGAAAATAGGGGAGTGACGTGACATATAGTAAGACATGTTTGTTCCGCTGTTTGAGTACCTATTGTGTAAAAGTGCAAAAAATAGAATGCTTAGGTGGTCACCCCCCCCACCCTCAGGTACAGACAGTTATAAACAAGTAAGCAGGTGTACTGGTTTGCCAGGGCTGGATAACAAAAGACCACAAAGTGGATGACTTAAATAACAGAAATCGATTGGCTCGTGGTTTGGAGGCTAGAAGTCTGAGATTAAGGTATCATCCGGGTTAGTTCCTTCTGAAACTCTGTTCCAGTCTTCTTCCCTAGTTGCTGGTGGTTTGGTAAGCAGTCTTTGATGTTCCTTGGTTTATAGATCTCTGCCTTCATCTTCACATGATGTTCTCCCTGTGATGCACAGCTGTGTCCAGATTTCTCCTTCATATGACACCAGTAATGTTTGATTAGGGGCCCACTCTTCTCCAGTAAGACATCATTTTACCAAATTACATCTGTAGTGACCCTGTTTCCAAATCAGGTCACATTCTGAGGTACTGGGGATTAGGACATAAATGTGTGAATTTTGGAGGACATAATTCAACCGATAGCAAACATTGGGCACTTATCATTAGTTTATTTAATTGACTAGAGGAAAAACAGCTAAAGGAGTTAGAAGCATGTGAGTGTGGACAAAATAAACCAGAAGCAATTAATGTTATTGTTTTTAGCTGTAAAATGTCTGTATCTCTGTCTGTGACCAGTCACAGACTTTGGTCTTTTGACTCAGATTATAGCTAAGAATTGAAGACTCGGGCTGGGTGGTCAATTCCCCATGGCTGTTTTGATTATGGATATTACTGGTTATCGTGATATATGGAGCCCCTGCTATGAAAGGCATTATGCTAGGTGCTATATACTGCTGACATTATCTCATAAAAGATTATTACTGGGGCCATACGGTAAACCAGAATCCCCCAGTATCTGCATCTGCTGTTTCTGCTGATGATTCTGAATTAGCTTATCCTTGTAATGTGACTTGGTAACGTCACCTGTCAAAGCAATTCAAGTGGTTTCCTAATCAGTCATATAGAAGAATGACTCAAAGTGTGTCCTCTCATCTGGAATGCTTGTTAGGAGAGTTTAGCTGACCAAAGAACCAGGTGACTTTTTTTTTTAAGTGAGGGGAAGTTCACATAACATAAGATTAACTATTTTAAAGTGTATAATTGTGTTACTTAGTACATTCACATGTTGTGCTGTCATAACATATGTCTGGTTCCAGAACATTTTCATCACCCCAAAGAGAAACTCAGTATCCACTTAGCAGTCACCTCTCCTCCTTGCTCCCTCCAGCCTCTGGAAACCACTACTCTGCTTTCTGTTGCTATATTGACCTGTTCATATGAATGAAATCACACAGTATGTGACCTTTTGTGTCTGGCTTCTTTCACTTGGCATGATGTTTTCTAGGTTCACCCATGTTGTACCAGCTATCAGTACTTCATTTTTATGGCTAAATAATATTCCACCCTTTGTGGGTGTACTATATTTTATTTATCCATTCATCAGTTGATGGACATATAGCTTGTTTCTGCCTTTCAACAATTGTAGCTGGTGCTGTTTTGAACATTCATGTCCAAGTTTTGTTTGAATACTTGCTTCAGTTCTTTTGGGTGTATGTGTGAGTTGAAGTTACTGGGTCATATGATAATTCTGTGTTTAACTTTGAGGAATCTCTGGGTTACTCGTAAATGAAGCCAAAAGTCTTTTGCTTTCATTATTTGTAAGGGTTTCTGTGTAATGTTACCTTATGCTGTAATATTAGATTTGGTAGCTAGGATTCTCAGAAATCAGCAGGTGGAGTTAGGTTTCTGTTTTTCTCAGGATTAAGATTCATTGTTTTTAAATAAAATATGCTGTCTGTGGGAACATAACCAACAATTATTGGGCCTTTACTATGTTTTAAGGATTGTGTTGAGTGCTCATTTAATACAGCAGTGTCTGAAGAAGGAAGATTCTGTTACAGATGGATAAATAAGCTTATTTGTAACTTGCTGAGGTAAAATGGTAGCAGTAATACTGACTCCAGAACTCATGCCTTTAACCTCTTCCTCCCAGCTCAGACTCTCAGATAAGGCCCTTAGAGCCTGGCGGGCCTTGTCTGCCGTCCTGGGCGTCAGGAAGGAGGCCGCAAAGGCCGTCTCCAACGGACGCTGTGCTCGTTACAGGTCCCATGCCTTTGTGGCGGCGCGTCTTGTTTGCTGTGCGGTTGCTGTCCCAACAGTAAGAATTCCACCTTGACTCGCCTCACCTATGCTTTCATCCTCTTCCTGGGCACCATTGTCTGTTGCATCATGTTTCATGAGGGGATGGAGACTCAGCTGAAGAAGGTAAGTAGAAGTAACAGTAGCCTTATTAATGTAGTGGTTTTAATTATTTTTATATTTTGTAAAACTTCTAGTTGTAATTAGTACTTATTTCTGCACTGTTGTGAAACTCAATCAAGTTCAGTGGATTGGCTGGGATCGTAAATTTCTGTTCTAGTCAAGACAGAATAGGAAGGTATTAGTCTTTTTCTAAAGTAAAGGTAGTATCAGAAGCAACATCTTTAGTGTAACAACTTTGGAAAAGATACTAAAAGAGTGGCCCTAAAGCTCTACCTTTTAAATAAAGTATATTTAATTTTAAACATTTAATCTAGACCAGCCCTCATTTGCAGACAGGGGCCAAAAAGAGAGCACTTGACTTTTATTTTCAAAATGCAACTTGTTCATATTGTTCGGTAACAAAACTGTAAGTGAATTGAAAGCCAAAGCAAAAAGTCCCAGAGGAGGGTCTTGCGGTTGTTGAAGTGGCCAGTTTTATAAATCCAGACTTTTCTATGGTGGAATCAAATCTCTCTTTAAATGTGGATATTCCCATAGTATTAAAATGTTTTTTTTCCAGATACCTGGATTCTGTGATGAAGGACTTAGTACCAGGATTACTGATATTATGGATAAAGATTGTGATGTGCTGGTTCGTTATAAAGCTGTGTATCGAATCAACTTCGCCTTGGCTGTTTTCTTCTTTGCCTTCTCTCTGCTCATGTTAAATGTGAAAACGAGTAAAGATCCCAGAGCAGCGATACACAATGGGTACCTAGGAATTACTTATTGTTAACTTGTCATGGTGTTGTATCTTTGCCTTAAGCAGTTAATGTTGCAATTTTGATGAAAGCAGTAGAGTATATAAATCAGTGGCCCAGATATACTTCTCATCTATTATATATGGGAAGTTGTCTCAAGGTCATTTTCATTTGGAGCCCTGCAGTATAGTGGAGGTAGAGTGGACAACGAGAATCTTTTTTTTTTTTGTATTATTTATTTATTTAGTATTTTTAAAAAATATTTTTGCTTCAGGTTCCTAGATTTCTCTGCATACCTGTGAAACCGTTCAAGCATTGTACTAGGCACTTCACACACACAAACACACATTTTTTTCCTTTCTATTTTTAAAAGATAAACATATACCTGATATATTTAGACAGGATGCTGCTGCTGCTAAGTCACTTCAGTCGTGTCCGACTCTGCGCGACTCCGTAGACGGCAGCCCACCAGGCTTACCTGTCCCTGGGATTCTCCAGGCAAGAACACTGGAGTAGGTTGCCATTTCCTTCTCCAATGCATGAAAGTGAAAAGTGAAAGTGAAGTCGCTCAGTCCTGTCTGACTCTTTGCGACCCTGTGGACTGTAGCCTACTAGGCTCCTCTGTCCATGGGATTTTCCAGGCAAGAGTACTGGAGTGGCATGTCATTGCCTTCTCCATTAGACAGGATACAGAAAGATAAACAGTGAATATATTTGGGCCACTGATTCACATATTCTGTTGCTTCCCATTCCTCATCCCCAGTTCCTCTTGTACATGTATTTCAGAGAGGTTAAATAAATTGCCTGAGATCTCTCAGCTAGAGAGGGTTGGCACTAGGATTGAAAGTCAAATCTGTTCAGCTCCAAAGCTGCTTTCTTTCCATGCTGCCATGCAAAGCAGTGTTTCAAGGTTGACTGAAAGCCAGATTTGGTCCTGTGATGAGCTGTGTGATTGTGGGCAAGGGATTTATGTCCACTTGCCTGATGTGCACCTTGCCATACTGAGATGCTGAGATTTGCAGCAGAGACGGGAAGACACATCTTGGGTCCGCCTCCCTGAAGGCCAGAGGGCTGTAGATACTTACGGGATAAAGAAGCAGGGTAGTCTGAGGTGTGGGAGTGGAAGGTAGGGAACAGGTGCTGTAATCAGTGTTTTGCACAGGTCTTTATCTGAATTACAGGCTTAACAGGATACTTAACATAATCAGGGGGTGGAGTTTTTGGCACTCTGAATTCATTGAACCACCTGTGCAGGCCCTGTTGTAGGGTCAGTAGTCCCAACCAGTCTTAGCCAGCTTGAACTGGACAAAAACTAACTCCCGGTTTCTGAAAAACAGCTTAAGTCCCAGTTGCTGTAGCAACCCATACATCAGAGGCAAGTATCTATAGGGATGGTTAAAGAGTCTTGGGATATATTATCTAGGCTGTAGGTTGGAAGGTATGAAATTTGAAAAAATTTAGACAAGCCTTGTGAAGGTAAGGCCACAAGCAGAGGAGTTCTTTAATGAGCTGTTAAAGCAGGAAAACTCTAAGGTAATGTGTTTCTTTCTTATGAATGTGAATGATTTGGTCTCTGTGCTAATGTTTGTCCTCAAATCGTGTGAAATACTGAGTGAAGTAGCTTCATGTCAGATGAAGAAACAAGCCCAATCATGTTGGAAGTGGCTAGTAAGGCTTTATTTTTGCATTTCAGAAGTTCATTTTCTCAATGAAAGGGAAAAAATAGCAGTTCATAAATGTACTTTTATATTTTAATAGATTTTGGTTCTTCAAAATTGCTGCCATTGTTGGTATCATGGTTGGATCTTTCTATATCCCTGGAGGCCACTTCAACACAGGTATGGTTCACTATAACAGGGTTTAATTATAATGTATACACACTCTACAGATGACTACATTCATTACTGATTTTGCAGAACTGATAATTAAATGAGATGGTGTCCAATTATCATGACTTGATACTAATATTAAGATATTAATTGACTGATTAAAGCCAGGAGGCATTCAGCCCACTTCTCAGCTATTCTGAAACCAGATGTTAATGGTTTGCCAATATTTTAGGTTTCCCTTCTCACTTGGCAATACAAAGTTAATCGGGCTTGTCAACATAAGGACTTGTAACCATGTACTCCACTATCCCTGTTTTAACCTGCTTCCTTATTGTGGCATCACATGACATTTGTGGAGTTCCACTGTGATTTACATCCCTATGAATAAAGGAAAGGGCTTATATCTTTTCCAGTGGGAATGTCAGACCATGGGCTCCCCTTAGCACAAGCTAGAATAGATTTTAAAAGGCCTGAAACCCAACAGAACACTTATCACAGAATGCCTTTGAGTTTAGAATTGGAATAATCTTGCTGTACTGCTTGAGACAGAATATGTCCCCTTTTCTTACTTGAAACCTTTTTAGTATGTTGGACAGTAACATTCTGATATGTTGCTCCTGTGGTAAAGAATAACTTTGTGATTTTGGTTTGCAGCCTGGTTTGTTATTGGCATGGTTGGGGCTGCCTTCTTCATCCTCATCCAGCTGGTGCTGTTGGTAGACTTTGCTCACTCTTGGAATGAATCATGGGTAAATCGAATGGAAGAAGGGAATCCAAGATGCTGGTATGCTGGTAGGTGTCAAGCCTCTATGAGAGCCGTACTGCATTATCCTATGTTAAACTGGGTGAGAATTGATCCTCTTTAGTTTAAAAGTCTGTCACAGCTGTGAGCATTCATGTTCATTCTCTTTTTTCTAGCTTTACTGTCTATCACAAGCTTGTTTTATATCCTGTCAATCATCTTTGCCGGGTTGCTGTACAAATACTATACCAAACCAGATGGCTGCACAGAAAACAAGTTCTTCATCAGTTTCAATCTGATCCTTTGCGTGGTGATTTCTGTTTTGTCAATCCATCCAAAAATTCAGGTATGGTTATCATTTCTGCTTCTTCCTCCTATGAGAGATTTTTAATTAATGCTAAACTTGAAACCTAGGTAACCTTTTATATGAAGTTATGTCCAGGTTTATCTACTTAAACATTTTTCTACTTTAGCATGATAAAGTCTTCATAATTATATCTTAATCATAAAATGTGCCATTGAATGTCAGTATTATAATTCAATGAATAATTTCCCTATTTAAGGGGAAGAAAAAAACTATGTAACTTGAGAATTTATTGTCCTTATAAAATTGTTTATATCATAAGAATGATTCTTAGAAATCTTTAGCAGAGATATTTTAGGGGAATTAAACTAGAAAAAAAATTGATTTTAATATTTAAAACACAACTTATGCTCCTGAGTTTCCTCATTTAAATGCCATATTTTAAAAATTCATGGATTTTTAGACATGAAATATGAAAAGAACATCACCTCTCCTTTTAAAAGTGAGAAAACTGAAGGTCCAGAGAGTTGATGGGTTACCTAGCTAGTTAAGGGCAAAGCCTAGCTTTGATTTCACTATACCAGGGAACTAGTGGTAAATCCAAGCCTTTGTATGATACACAGGAATTTCCAAGGTTATGAAATGCCTGAGAATTGGTGGTACATGCCTCCTCTTTCTTGGTTATTTTTCAAGCTAACTTAAACTGAAAGGTTACTTGTCATCTTTCAGCTGTCAAGCAGAATCAGCAGGTCTCAATAACAGCTCAGCGGGTCCAGGAAGTACGCTTTGTTTTAGAAATTTGGCCATTGTAATTCCTATGGTGTGGTTTTCTTTTCGATTCCATAGGAACACCAGCCTTGTTCCGGCCTCCTGCAGTCTTCTCTCATCACCCTCTACACCATGTACCTCACGTGGTCAGCCATGTCCAATGAACCTGGTAAGGAAATTTTAATAGCACATTCATTTGATGGAAAGAAGGTAAGAAATGGGAGTTCTCTGGCAGTGCAGTGGTTTGGACTCAGCTTTCACTGTTGTGGGTGTAGGCTTGATCCCTGGTTGGGAAACTTAAGATCTCACAAGATGTGCCATCCACACCAGGAGTAAAAAAAAGTACGAAATTACTCCTTTGGTGGGTGCCAGAACCAAACTGGAGCAAATGTCCGACAAACAAGTGAACAGACAAAAACTTCATTTAAATGTACAGTGTCTTTGGTATTTACCTTTCACGTTTTATTTTCCATGTCCGCTCCTAGCTGTTGAGAGCTGACAGCCTGAAGGACCACCTAGAGGACCTTTGTGTAGTCCAGGCTTTGCCCTGGACTAAATCAGATTAGTTAAGAGCTGAACACGGCAGCATTGTTTTGGCCCTTTGTAGAACTATGTTAATTGAATTTTATGTTGGTGGTACATGCTTCAGAAGAAATAGCTGTGGGAAATCTCCTTTTGTAAGTCTTATGGGATTGTTGCTCAAGGGTATCCTGTGGACTAGTTTTCAAGGAAAATCATTACTGCAGACCATCCAGTGATGACTCAACTTATTCTTATTGTATTCCTATGTAACTGTGCAGAAACAGGACTAGGGATTAAACTCCTTGTGCTTTTTTAAAAAAAAATAACCAGGCCAAATTTATTGACTCAAACCTTAATTTGCAAACAAATTATCTTTTTTTAAACTTTTGTTTTATATTGGATTACAGTTGATTAACAATGTTGTGATAGTTTCAGGTGTACAGCAAAGTGATTTAGTTGTACATTTCCCCATTTAGGCCGTTACATAACATTGAGCAGAGTAGGTCCCTGTTGGTTATCCATTTTATTTTTATTTATTTTTTTTTGACTTACATTCACTTTTTTTTTTTTCCATTTATTTTCACTAGTTGGAGGCCAATCACTCCACAACATTGCAGTGGTTCTTGTCATACATTGAAATGAATCAGCCATGGATTTACATATATTCCCCATCCCGGTCCCCCCTCCCACCTCCCTCTCCACCCCATCCCTCTGGGTCTTCCCAGTGCACCAGGCCCGAGCACTTGTCTCATGCATCCAACCTGGGCTGGTGATCTGTTTCACCCTAGATAATATACATGTTTCGATGCTGTTCTCTTGAAACATCCCACCCTCGCCTTCTCCCACAGAGTCCACAAGTCTGTTCTATACATCTGAGTCTCTTTTTCTGTTTTGCATGTAGGGTTATCGTTACCATCTTTCTAAATTCCATATATATGTGTTAGTATACTGTAATGGTCTTTATCTTTCTGGCCTACTTCGCTCTGTATAATGGGCTCCAGTTTCATCCATCTCATTAGAACTGATTCAAATGAGTTCTTTTTAATGGCTGAGTAATATTCCATGGTGTATATGTACCACAGCTTCCTCATCCATTCGTCTGCTGATGGGCATCTAGGTTGCTTCCATGTCCTGGCTATTATAAACAGTGCTGTGATGAACATTGGGGTGCACGTGTCTCTTTCAGATCTGGTTTCCTCAGTGTGTATGCCTAGAAGTGGTATTGCTGGGTCATATGGCAGTTCTGTGGTTATCCATTTTAAATATAACAGTGTGTACATGTCCATCCTAACCTCCCCACCACCCTTCCCTCTGGTAACTGTAAGTTCCTTCTCTAAGTCTGTGTAAACTCCTTATGCTTTAAGCACACAACTGTTGAGCCCCAAAGACTTGCTAGTTAAACTTCAAAACCAGTGAAATCAAGATTGACATTTATGAAATTGGACAAATAATCTGTTACTGTAGTTTCTTTGCTCTTTCTCGAAAACCAGGTCTTTGGTTACAACATAAATGTGTTGCTGACTGCCCAGTTGCAGATTCTCTAGAGTATAAAACATTCTCATGTTTGAAATTGTGTTGACTGAGTGATGTGTAAACACACCCCTCAAATCTTTTTGGACCCCGATGAGTTATCCCTAAAGATAAAAAGCAGTTTCTCATCATCAGATCGTTCCTGCAACCCTGGCCTGTTGAGCATCATCACACACATGACCTCATCCACCCTGGCGCCTGCGAATACAACTGCTCCAGCCCCTACCCCTGCTGTGCCATCACAGAGTGGGCCTTCTCTGAATAAAGAGAATTTCATTGGGCTCTTAGTCTTTGTTCTCTCCCTTTCCTATTCTAGGTAAGTTAAAAAGTCTTTGACTTGCCTCAGTTAACCCTGTGGTTTCTATAAGTTCAGTAAATCCTCTTGTGAAATAATTCCCCCCAGCCTTACTAAGAGATATGTTCTCCTTTGTATAGGAAGAGAAAGCCCTTACCTGACCTGACTCTCGATTAGCTAGAATAGTGGCTCTGAAATTTGGTTGGCTTATCTTTTTTTTTTAAAGCAATCTTTATTTTATGATCATTGTAAATAGTATAAGCAACTAGCAGAATTTTATGCACGAAATGTTCAAGTCGGTAGCTAATCCAAGACCCCAGATACAACCTATGTTAGCAGTTTGCACTCATTCTCTCACCTATTTTTATTGATATTGTCTATCTAATAGTGTGTGATATCTTAGTAATTTTAAAATGTGAAATAATACAAATAGGCAAGGATATATTTATATAAACTAACAGCATGAGTGAGGGCAGTTTAAAGTAGGAAATTAAATTGTCCTCCCTCTAAATTCACCTCTTCTGTGGTTAAATTTTGGCACATATTTTTTCAAGCTTTTTTCTTTTGCTTATATTTACTATTTATGATCTATTTGTATATTGTTATGTATATTTTTATAAATAGATATTTTATATCACTTGATATATAATTTAAAAATAGAGAACATACTATATAATAGTATAACAGTATACTATTCTGAAATACATATGAATTTGTCATAATTTGGACAGCTTTGCACATATAATGTATAGTTTTACCCTTTTTTTCCTTTTTTTCTTTTTTTAATGATTGCTTAAAATATGGGTTGGCAATCTACAGCCCTTGGGCTGACTTCCTATTTCTCTAAATAAAGTTTTATTGGCTTATAGCTATGTTCATTTTTTTCATGCTCTCTGTGACTATTTTTGTTTATTTCCTTTGATTCTTAATCTTAAGAGGAAAGCTTTTAATCTTTCACTATTAAATACAACTTTTTCATAGAGGCCCTTTATCAATTTCAGGAAGTTTTCTATTTCTAGTTTGAGTTTTTATCATAAAGTATCAGATTTTTGCCAAAAAAAATATTTTTAATGTCTGCTGAGATGTTCATGTGGAATTTGTCCTTTATTTATATGTACTTTTAAAATTCAATCATTTAGGAAACTTTGAGTATCTGCTGTGTACTAGAAATGCATAGGTGACTAAGGTCATTGCCAGAAGTTCTGTGAATAGCAAGGAAGACAGGAGTGGTTAAGTGATACGGCAGAAGGCAGAGTAAGGAGTTACAGAAATTTAATCCAGCCTAGTGATGGGGTGACGTCAGAGAAGCCTTCCTAGAGGACACGCATGATTAGAGAGTTAAAGAGTGAGTAAGTTAGCTGGGCGAAGATGGGCATTGCATTCCTAGCAAAGGAGAGATCCTTCTGAAGTCTTGGAAGCAGACACCATAAGCATAGTGTATTTTGGGAAACCGCTCCAGGCAGTTAAAGCATCAAATTGTAACTGTTAGGAATACTGTCTCTGTCTTGTGATGACAGGCAGCAGATCAGAATTTTCAGCAAACCCTTCAGAAGCCCTTCAGTCCCCAAAGCAGGAGCAGTTTAGAAATAAGCCTCACGTGCACAGTCCCGTGACAGCACTTCCATCTTCATGGCCTCCTTCTGACTTACCTTCCTGGGATCACTTTCCAGCATCCGCAATTCCAGCAATAGCCAAGTCAGCAAGCTGACGCTGTCAGGAAGCGACAGCGTGATCCTCCGGGATGCGGCTGCCAGCGGCGCGAGTGAGGAGGAGGGTGGACGGCCGCGGCGGGCAGTGGACAACGAGCGGGAGGGGGTGCAGTACAGCTATGCCGCCTTCCACCTCATGCTCTGCTCGGCCTCGCTGTACACCATGATGACCTTGACCAGCTGGTACAGGTAGGAGGCAGAGAGCCCAGGGAGGGCCTCTTAGCCCCTTGGGCTTGCCCGTGAGAGCGCCTGACCTCAGAATCCCCTTCTTTTACCCATATAAAGAAAGTGTGTGCGGTGCTCACACTCTTCTGAAATATTTCTGTTTTTTCTCCTCTTGCATTTAAAATCCAGTTGGAATGCTTACAGTGAAAATCATGGGAAGCCCTTCCAAACTTGAGTAACTTGAGAGAGAAAATCATGACATAAAGCAATCTGACTTGTCTTTGTTCACTGAGTTTCCTTTGTCTAGAGATGGCCATGTAGAGTATTCTGATCAAAGGAAACATCTGGTAAAGCAGGGAAGATTCAGTAAATTCATTTCAGTCTTGAATTTTACCAGTAGGTAGAACAGCCAGATGGAGAAGGCTTTGGCACCCCATTCCAGTACTCTTGCCTGGAAAATCCCATGGATGGAGAAGCCTGGTAGGCTGCAGTCCATGGGGTCGCGAAGGGTTGGACACGACCGAGTGACTTCACTTTCATTTTCATGCGTTGGAGAAGGAAATGGCAACCCACTCCAGTGTTCTTGCCTGGAGAATCCCAGGGACGGGGGATCCTGGTGGGCTTCCCTTTATGGGGTCACACAGAGTTGGACATGACTGAAGCGACTTAGCAGCAGCAGCAGCAGAATAGCCAGATGTTCCTGGAGAACTTTTTGCAAGGAACGGTCAGGGTTCTTCATGCAGGCTAAAAGAGCTGTTTGAGTGGCAGAGCCCCCTGCTCATAAAAACAAAAAAATAGCGACTTTCTCAAGTCCCTTCTGGTAACTGAGTACAGAGTAGTGTCAGGCAAGTTTCAGTGGAGAATTTCTTAGCTTTTGCTGAGGGGCCGCTGTATGCTGAAATTAGGCTCCTTTACTTAACTCTCAGGGGCTTCCCAGGTGGCTCAGTGGTAAAGAATCTGCCAGCTAAGAGGAGATGTGGCTTCGATTCCTGGGTCGGGAAGATCCCCCGGAGAAGGGCATGGCAACCCACTGGAGTATTCTGGCCTGGGAAACCTCATGGACAGAGGAGCCTGGCGGGCTACAGTCCCTGGGGTTGCAAAAGAGCTGGACACGACTTTGTGACTCAACAGCAGCAACCACCTAACTCTCTGCTATTTTCTCAGCCCTGATGCAAACTTCCAGAGCATGACCAGCAAGTGGCCAGCTGTGTGGGTCAAGATCAGCTCCAGCTGGGTCTGCCTCCTCCTCTATGTCTGGACCCTCGTGGCTCCGCTCGTCCTCACCAATCGAGACTTCAGCTGAAGCTCTGAGTGCCAAGGACACCACTGAAATTCATAAAGGTCTCCTTTGCTGAAAGCTCATATACTGTTTACTTTCGCTTCAACTAATATATTAAGCAAATGCTCTGCAAATAAGACTATATCCACGTTTATATCAGAGGGCAAGATGGAATAATGCTTGATGCAGGATCAGAACCTTTCATTTATATCTCTATTATGTTTATTTGTAAGGATAGAGAGCAAAAGGAACAGATTGTGTTTTAAAGTGAACTACAGCTGTGCTGTGAAGAGAGTTCTTTATTAAGACTTGTAGGTTCCTACAACTTTGATTTAAAATGTAAGACAGAAAAATGCTGGATATTTGAGGTTGTCATTAATATATTTCTATTGCAGTATCTTTAAAGAGCAAAATAATTATAATGATGCATTTCTATGACAGTTTTCTTCTGTGAAAGTCTTTACTGTGTGATACAGGCCCTTCAGTCCTTAAACTCAGTGCTTGGGGAAAGGAGTCTTGTGTGCAGGTCTTGTCCCAGAAGAGGGGTTGTTGGTATGGCTGCTGCTTCTACGTCTTGAGTTTTTTTTATTTCCTTTTTATTTTTATACTACAGCATTGATGCTGCTTGATTCAAGCCTGTGGCTTTGCTAGAAATGTTAATTTCAATAAACGCTTTGTATGTTTGGTTAAACTGAAGATTCACTTGAAAAACTGGTGCAGCTTTAGTCTATGTCATTATCTTGTTATGAGTATGTAAAAATATAAATGCATGTGAATATATTATATTTGCACTATAAAGGTATTTGATTAAAATAGAAAGACTTAAGCTTTTTAAGGTCCTTTCTTTAACAGCTTTGATGAGTTAGCAGCATTCTAGGTTTTTCATTTTTTTAGACTTCTTTGGGCAGTAAGGTTTATAAACAGAATGCCCTCCTAGTCCTTCTAAAATTTAAGCTCTGACCAGTGAGTAAAGTCTTGAACTCATTCAGAAATTCTACTAAATATCTTTCCTGGGCAAGACACTGGGGTAGATGAGAGATAAGGCTTGCATTCTCTGGAAGCTTCTTTGGGAGAGGTAGCACACAGGGATGTAGGATAGAGCAGTCTGCTTGTTCAGCGAAGCTTTATTGCGTGTTCTGTACCAGGTCCCGTCAGGCCTGGGATACAGCCTTAAACATGACAGACACCGGCTCTGCCAACTTGGAGTTAAAGAGTTTCAAAGATGGTGAAATGAGCTGACAGGTGATACAGCGTGTTGTAATTAGTGCTGTGATTTAGGAATTGCAGAGAACTCACAGGAGAGGTGCTGGGTGGGGAGTGTCAAGGTAGGCTTCCTGGAAAAGTGATATCTAAGCCAAGAAATGTTAGGAGTTCACTAATGAGAGGAATAGGGAAGTGGAGTGGCATTGCTGAAGGATAGACTAAACTGTATGTTAAGGGTAGGGAGATTTAAAAAAAATATATCGTGTTCAGTGAAGCTTTAATGGGGAGAAGTGGTCAGGGACCAGGCCACAAAGGGCTTTGTAAACCACACTGAAGAGTTTGGACCTTGTGCAGGGCCAGCAGGGAACAGAGAGTGCCATGGGCAGATGGTCTCGTCAGTCACTGCGGCTGATGTATGGAGAAGGGATCTAGAGAATGAGACCAGGGCAGTTCTTATGAGGTTTGAAACAGAAAAGTCAAGTGACGATAGAGAGAAATTGACAGCTGAGAGCTCCTCAGTAACTAAACATTTTAACTTGCCAGTTGATTAGCTGTGGGAGAGAGGTCGATTCCTGAGTGATGCTAGTTTAGCCACCTGAAATCTCTGGTGGTTCTGTTTATATGGTGAGAAAAACCAGAAGGGGAGGAACAACCTGTGCTAGAAGAAAGATGGAGGTGGTCTCTGAAGATGGCTGTTTGGGTTTGGAAGCATGCTTTGTTATTTTCTGTCAGACTGATCAGTAAATACTGAGTATACACTATGCTTTATGACCTTAGGTGAATGACAAGCCATCTGAGCCTCAGTGTTTCCTTTGTTTGAAAGTTTATATTGGTACAGAAGAGCATTTAGAGAGTAAAATTACTTTGCAAAGTGCTTAACCACTATAAGCACACTGGTGGTAGCTGCTCATCTCCATGTGGGCTAAAATGAGACTGGTCAATAGTCAGAGGTCAGAGATGTTCAGCTGTAATCTAATGGAGGTGAGATTTGAGGCTTCTTAAAGAATTAGACAGGGCCTAGAGGGGACAGTCTCAGCTGAGCTGTAGGTGCGGGGTCAGGAAGCAGGGCTTGATAGGAACTGTTGGAACTGCCACCGTTTAAACCAGTACTTTATGCCATGGCTCGGCTCAGGGATAAAATTGCCAGGGATGTGGGAGACAGTTAACGAAGGTATAACTTACTTTGCCGGTGTAAAGCAGTCACCCCATTTTCCTTAAAGAAGAGCCGGCCAGATTAAGACTTTTAAGGGCCTGAACTTTAATAACATCACTGTGTACCACCCCTCCCCCACCTTATGTCACTTAAAAGCAATACTAAACTGTAAAATAAGTGTAACAGAGTCCAATAAAGTTTTTATTTTTTTCTCATGATGATAACTTCGATATTAATTTGAAATAACAAATTCTCTTTTAAAACCAAAGGGGCAGTGTCCCGACTTTGCTTGGTTATACACTAAGAGCAAGTTAAAGCTGGCCTGTTGCTAGGACACCCAGTAGTGTACTCAAGACTCAAGTGAATTATACATGTTGAGTGCTGAATTATACACATGCATTAAAAAAACATCAGTATTTTCAGTAAGCTCAGGATTCCACTGTAAAGGAAGGGGGTATTTTGAATCCTCAGACCTCATGGTGTCATCCCATTCTAGAAGAGTCCCCTGGTGTCTCATCGCCATGAAGCAGGCCTGTCTGTCCCCCACTGTTGCTGACTGGGGGCCCTGGCTCCGAGGTCAGCTGTGTGCCCTAGGAATTCATTAAAGGCAACAGTGTGGCTGCCACTTCTGCATGCTTAGAGCTGGGAGAAAGCTTGTCAGCCCTTCTTGGATCTCCCTTTCTAGGTTGCGCTTGCTAGGCATTCTGTTGGATGGGAGATAAAACTCTTGATGATCAAAGATACTCCCAAAGAAAGGCCGTGGACCTGGTTTTCTGTGCTTCTGATATTCTGGACCAAACCATAACTCAGACCTAATTTAAACCTGACAACTTTTGTGTTCATTCCAGGTCCCTGCTTGATGATATTTTTCTTTTTACACATTGAGGCTAAAGTGAGTATTCAGTACTTTGAGGCATGTGTTTGATCTCTGTGGATGGATGGCAGATGCCAGCCTCGGTGCTTATTAATGGGAGCTGCTGTTCATCTCTTTACACTTCGTGTCGGTCTATCCATCCTGTCACAGCCCAGATGGGGCCACCTGCTCAGTGGTCTCCTCACTACTGCTGGGTGACTTAAGTCACATGGTGCCTGTATCCTCAGGTGAAGAAAAATAAGAGCTGCCTCAAAATAGCAACATGTATCAAGCAGGGAACAGAGATTATCCACAGCCTTGTAAAGTGGTGATCTCCCCTTCTGTAGATAAACCGAGGTGTAGAGAGGTTAGTGTCTTGCCCACAGACACTTTAGTAAGAAGCAAAGCAGAGAAACAAATCCAGGGCTGATTTAGATCCCAGTCTCCCTTGGCCTGTAAGAATGTAGGAGACAAGGTAAACTATAGAGGCTGCTTCATGTAGGGGGGCCAGGCCAGCTGGCTCTCTACCCATTACTAATGAAGGGAAATTAGTAGCTCTCTGAAGGCAGCAACTGCTGTCCTGCTGGGTCAGTGTATTCCAAGAGGGTTGGTACCTTATCAGATAAGAAAGCAAACATTCGGTTTAAAGTTTCTTTTTTCTTCCAGAAAAGTAGTGCCCTGAAAGAAATTTATTACCAGCTTTAAAAATGTATTAATAATTAATAATAATATATTAATAATTAATTCAGCTGGGCCGGGTCTTAGTTGAAGCATGCAGGATCTAGTCCCCTGACCGGGGATCGAACCCCGGGCCCCCTGTATTGGGAGTGCAGAGTCTTAGCCACTGGACCACAAGGGAGGTCCCCATCCATACTCAGCAGCTTTAAAATGCAATAACATGAAACATTCGGTGCCACTTATTGTATAGAAGTGCTGAACAAGTACTGTGAGACGTGGGCACTGGAGAAAACTAAGAGGTATTTTAGAAGAGAAACCAGAAAGAGCCGACTCATGGAAATAACTCGTATGGCTTCTAAAGTACCTAAGTTGATCCTTTTAACACTGTTGTGGAGGTAAAAAGAATTGGAGCCATGAGCTCTGTCTTTCCAGAGGTGAGAAACAGACTAAGTTCCTTTGAGAATGCTGACCTGAAAAGCCGGTATGTTGCAATGTTAAGTACTTATTACTGTTGCATCATCAGAAAGCAGCAGTAACGTATGAATATTCCGAGGGTTTCTCAACTGGCCGTCGCCAACACATCAGACCTGCCGCAGACTGGGACCTAGCTCCGGTCTCCTCTGGGGAGATAACGTAGGGCAGAGACACAGCTGTGAGCTTAGAGAAACAGCTAAGCAGCAGGGGACCAGAGCTGAGCAGGCCACACCCAAGTCACCCTCAAGGCGTTTGCATACACTTGTAGGTGCTTCCCAAATAAAGTGTTCACTTGATAGGTGCTTCCAAAATAAAGTGTTCAGTTACAGTTTGGGTCTCGAGATTAGGAACTTCTGCTTTCTATTCTCCAGGAAGCCAGAAAACAAGCCACTTTTTACACTGAGCTTTCTGACTCTATAAATACCTCCCTTCTTTCTTTGGTCTGTCTGGGGGCTGACTCCAGCCATCAGGAGGAGATTATGTGCTCCAGTCAGAGTGCCTGGCCTTGAATCCCAGTGCTACTTAACTGTTAATAGCTGTGTGTCCTTGGACAAGTGGCTTTTCTGTACCTTACTTCCCCCCCCCAGGGGCAATACTACTATTTCATTAAGGGTGCTTGAAGAGTAAATGACATTTTGTACGTGAAGCGCTTGACAAGATGGATGCACAGCCCACGAGAGCACTCCGGGACTGTTAGCTCTCGGGGCTCAGGGCCAGTCTGGGAAGTATACCTGGGCCTGGTGAGTGGCCCTCTGTATCACTGTGGACATCTCGCTGCACTTCCTTTCTTCACACTGGTGTCCCCTCACCGCGCCTGATCTTGAGAGGCAGCCGGCCCGCTGCCTAGAAAACGCACGTGCTGCCACAGCGCCCCCTTCCGGCCTCAGCAGGAGAGAGGCTCTTCCCGGCCACTGAGAGTGAAAGGCACTCAGTTGTGTCCGACTCTTTGCGACGCCATGGACTATATAGCCCATGGGGTTCTCCAGGCCAGAGTACTGGAGTGGGTCGCCTTTCCCTCCTCCAGGGGAACTTCCCAACCCAGGGATCGAACCCACGTCTCCCACATTGCAGGTGGATTCCTTACCAGCTGGAAGCCCTGCCCACGAAAAATTAAACACTTAGAACCTTTACCCAAACTGCCATAGTCACAAAAAAACCACACACACTCAGCCTTACAGAGATTTTTTATTATTTAAGACCCAGTCATGCATACTAAAATTACATGTTTTCACCATTTTGACTTAGAAAATGCACTAGAAAAATAAACTTTTGGTCAAAACAAACACTGAAGTAGATGAATCCACCACCACGTGTCCCTATACTTGAAGCCAAACTGAATTTCAGTTTGAAGTGAGGAAGGCAACCAGTGGCCGAAATGAAGCCCCAATCTGGTCACAATTAGTCCATCTCTAACCCCTTCAGAGTCATTGAGAGAGGCTCTTGGCCCCAGAGAAGTTTCAAGTAGTTTACTTGTAACAGGTTCCCACCTGAGGTCAAGGCATATCCACAAGAATCCCAGTGGATGGCAGCTACTTAACTGCCCAACTAAACATGGTGCCCAGTGAGATGAAAGGACAAGTGGCTAATTGGCAAAGAGCAGAACGGTCACTAGCAAGGCCATTCACAAATCACCCTGGGCCTTCGCATGGAGCAAGCACTATGAAGGAAGAATATGACTCTGACATTATTTATTACTTGCATTTCAAGCCATTTCTGCATCAGGAGAGCAGAAGGGAATTTATTCGAGGTTTACAAAACTCACAGACCTCAGTCCTGAAAAGTGTGACTTTTCAGAGGTCCAGTGTGACTAGACATCTTTCCTGAACAGTTTCTATGTTTTCTGTTTGCGATCTCCACGACTGTCATGCCACAGGACAGCCAAACATCATTAGCTTAGCGGACATTTTACTTGCTAAATGAAAGGAGTGGTTTCAAAGGAAAACCTTAAAATGAGGTATTATGATAATGCCACAACAGTACCATAGCTTTTGGCTACCCAAATGAAAAAGCAACCCCATAACTGATCTGAGAATCAGGTGGCATTTAAAGTAACTGCCCACCCATGGAGATTTCTGAAAGACTCAACATCTCACAGGAATTCAGGGAAAATATCTCTTATTACCCTGACTCTCTTTCTGGTAAAAATGTAGTATCTTGTGAACTGAAGTGTTTGTAAAGCTCTAAGGATAGGCTCGTGACATTGAGCAATGTCAGGTTTGTGATACTGTACAGGAGGCATGATCAAGACCATCCCCAAGAAAAAAATGCAAAAAGGCAAAATGGTTTGTCTGAGGAGGCCTTACAAATAGCTGAGAAAATAAGAGAAGCCAAAGACAAAGGAGAAAAGGAAAGATACACCCATTTGAATGCAGAGCTCCAAAGAACAGCAAGGAGAGATAAGAAAGCCTTCCTCAGTGATCAGTGCAAAGAAATAAGGGGAAACAACAGAATGGGAAAGACTAGAGATCCCTTCAAGAAAATTAGAGATACCAAGGGAACATTTCATGCAATGATGGGCACAATAAAGGACAGAAATGGTATGGACCTAACAGAAGCATAAGATATTAAGAGGTGGCAAGAATACACAGGAGAAATATACAAAAAAGATCTTCATGAGCCAGATAACTACGATGGTGTGATCACTCACCTAGAGCCAGACATCCTGGAATGTGAAGTCAAGTGGGCCTTAGGAAGCATCACTATGAACAAAGCTAGTGGAGGTGATGGAATTCCAGTTGAGCTATTTCAAATCCTGAAAGATGATGCTGTGAAAATGCTGCACTCAATATGCCGGCAAATTTGGAAAACTCAGCAGTGGCCACAGGACTGGAAAAGGTCTGTTTTCATTCCAATCCCAAAGAAAGGCAATGTCAAAGAAGGTTTAAACTACCACACAATTGCACTCATCTCACACGTTAGCAAAGTAATGCTCAAAATTCTCCAAGCCAGGCTTCAAAGTATGTGAATCATGAACTTCCAGATGTTCAAGCTGGATTTAGAAAAGGCAGAGGAACCCGAGATCAAATTGCCAACATCCGCTGGATAATTGAAAAAGCAAGAGAGTTCCAGAAAAACATCTACTTCTGCTTTATTGACTACGCCAAAGCCTTTGACTGTGTGGACCACAAGAAACTGTGGAAAATTCTTAAAGAGATGAGAATACCAGACCACCTTACCTGCCTCCTGAGAAATCTGTATGTAGGTCAAGAAGCAATAGTTAGAACTGGACATGGAACAACAGACTGGTTCCAAATCGGGAAAGGAGTACGTCAAGGTTGTATATTGTCACCCTGCTCATTTAACTTATATGCAGAGTACATCATGTGAAATGCTGGGCTGTATGAACAGAAGCTGGAATCAAGATTGCCGGGAGAAATAATAGCCTCAGATATGCAGATGACACCACCCTTACAGCAGAAAGCGAAAAAGAACTAAAGTGCCTCTTGATGAAAGTGAAAGAGGAGAATGAAAAAGTTGGCTTAAAACTCAACATTCAGAAAACTAAGATCATGGTATCCAGTGCCATCACTTCGTGGCAAACAGATGGGGAAACAATGGAGAGAGACTTTATTTGGGCTCCAAAATCACTGCAGATGGTGATTGCAGCCATGAAATTAAAAGACACTTGCTCCTTGGAAGAAAAGCTATGACCAACCTAGACAGCATATTAAAAAGCAGAGACATTACTCTGCCAACAAAGGTCTGTCTAGCCAAAGCTATGGTTTTTCCATATGTATGGATAGGAGAGTTGCACTATAAAGAAAGCTGAGCACCAAAGAATTGATGCTTTTGTTTTTGTGGTGTTGGAGAAGACTCTTGAGAGTCCCTTGGACTGCAAGGAGATCAAACCAGCCAATCATAAAGGAAATCAGTCCTGAATATTCATTGGAAGGACTGATGCTGAAATTGAAACTCCAATACTTCGGCCACCTGATGTGAAGAACTGACTCCTTGAAAAAGACCCCGATGCTGGGAAAGAATGAAGGCGGGAGAAGGGGACAACAGAGGATGAGATGGTTGGATGGCATCACCGACGCAATGGACATGAGTTTGAGCAAGCTTCGGGAGTTGGTGAAGGACAGGGAAGCCTGGTGTGCTGCAGTCCATGGGGTCATAAACAGTCGGACACGACTGAGCAACTGAACTGACTGAAGGACAGGCTGCTCCCTGTGAAAGCAGGGTGAAGTACTAGGGAGCTGAGGCCACCTTTGCCGACAGAAAATAGGAAACTCAAGAGAGGAGGCCAGGGTTGTTGCACTTTTGGCTATTTCTGTAGATTACTCCCAGGCTCTGGCCGTGAAAGAACAGAATTCCAGGAAGAAGCACAATTTTCCAGAATTCTGTATAGAAGAGGAGGAAGAACTCCCCCAACCCACTACCTAAGCTGACAGACTCATTTGGAAGCGTTAGGTGTCAGTTCATTCAGACCTAAACTGCCTAAAGGGTCATTCAGATGGGGGGGGGGGGGCAGGGAAGAACAAATCCTCTGATGCCAGGAACAGAGGGTTCAGGGCTCCCAAGTGTAGACACCCTTTATCATAGGGCCATTCAGGGATATTCAGCAGCTGACCAAGGCCAAGTGGCAAAGTAAAGCTGGAACTTGGGTCTCCTGGTTTACTATTTCTTTCCCTTGCCTACAGCACACAGCCCTGAACTGCAGGAAACGTTCATCTTCAGGTGTCTGAAATGAATCAGAACTTTCCCCTTAAAGAATACGCTCAGTTATCTTAGTGTTCAGTTACTTGCTCTGTCACTGTGCCCCCACTGCCGAGTGAAACTCCCGGGGTGCCCCTGTGGTCACTCCCCTGCCCTGCTGAGGCAGCTGCAGACAGAAGCCAGGCAGAGACAGCCACGGTTTCCACCCAGGGAGGTCCCGCTTTCACAGCGTGGAGCAAGCCTCCTGAGGTGCCAGCACCACTTGCTCTCCTTGGAGCCAGCATAAAACACAGCAGCTCCAGGAGGCAGACAGCCCTTGGCTCTGACTCCTTGCGGAAGCTGAATGAAACAGCTCCCTGATCTAACTGGGAAGGTCTGGGAAATGGGCAACACCCTTCCTGGTCTTTGAGAAATTTCTGGAGGTGAGCTTGGCCATCCCCACATTAAGACACGTGGATAAACGCAGCTTGCCAGGAATGCAATGCCAGTTCAAACCTTGAAAACTTGGTGGGCCTGATTCACGTCTAACTTTTCTGTTGTGTTTTTTAATCTCTGTCCTCTTTGGGACCTAAGAAAACCTCTGACCAATTTTCCCAGGCAGTTGGGTTCTGAACATATTACTAAAGCCATCCCACTTGTCCCATTTAGACCTTTCCAGCAATGGCGGTCACACCATCACTGTCATGGCATTGTCTAGATGGGACCAGAGGCAGCCAGGGGTGTGTATTTTGACACCTCCCACCCAGCCAGGTCCTTAGAGCATCCAAGGTTAGTATCTATGGTGAAAACAGTTCTTCCTAGAATTGGCACGAATGAGGTAAGTCACTTCCACCAACAACTTCCCCAGACATTTTAAAAAGTGCTACAGAGAGAAACAGCTTATGAACAACTGATTGGCCTTGACATTTCAGAGGACTGTTCTAGTCCTAACTGAGTCATTCAGGTTGCCTGCTGCTGCTCTAACAAATGCACAGAGAAGGTAACACACACAATGCGTGGTACCTGTCACTTTTTAACACCACAATTTGCATGGAATGAATGAAAGGAAATAGGTCAAAAGCCATCAGATGAACCACCTAATTTGATGCTTGGGCTAAGGCTAAGTTCTTGACAGGAAGGGTCTAAAGTGCTAAAATGCAGAATTAACATTCAGTCTGGCTGGACACAAGAGATAGAAACTCAAGTGTGTTGTGGTGGGGGTGGCCCAGAATAACTTGCCCTTATTTCCAGAGGCCAAATTTTAAAAATGCCAATTAATTTATCCCTTTACCTTGCCAAGTTTAAAATATAAGCCAGAGTCTTAGAGATGGAAGGAATTCATCCAAGATCATGGGCATCTCATCTGCCTTCACAAAGGCCATCATTTTCAAGTTCAACCCTCCCTGTGAAAGGAAAACGGGTATTGCTGAATCCACTCATTTCTTTAAAGATAGGACCAAAACAATGACGCATCCCTCTTGGGAAGGCCTATGCATACCACAAAAATACAGAATCCAACCACTGGTATCTAGAGAGTGCTCTTTCTAGGCAGAAAACCAATGTCTAACATTCAATAAATAACCAAATCACAGAGGCCCATTAGTAGCCAAAAGGGCCCTCAGCATCACTTCATTCAGCCTCATTTTACAGATGACAAGGCTGGAGGCCCACAGAGGCTCGTGTGTCCACAGAAACACATCTAAGGTTGGGGCGCAGGTCTCATAATTCTTAGGCCAGAATTCTTTTAGCTACACAGGACTGGCGTCCAGGCTTCTTGGTTGAATAAAATCACGTGCGTCTAGGATCATGTATGATTCTTTTGAGAACCAGGACTAAGGCTTTATGGGTTCGGGAAAACTTTAAGGTTCTATTGCAAGATTCAGCCCATGAACCCCAGAGGTACATAAGGTCCCTGGTTCCCGAGTTTGATCAGGAGGTGCTGCTTCTGTCTTCTTGCATGATTCAGTGAAGGTGCTTTCCAGACCCAGTGATGGACCTCAGACTTTCAAGCTGAGAGGTCTGTAGTCTGTCTTTGAAGACAATCTCATCATCTCACATGTGGCTACCTGGCAGGCTCGGCCAAACTGTCTCACAGGAGTGCACTGCCTGGCCAAATCGGGGTTTTCTCCTGGAATGTGGGATCAAAGTGATGTTGGTCCTGATTTTTCTTGCTTTGAGCTCTGTAAGAACCAGATACAGCTTCCACATGGATTGCAAATGTTTCAGAATTGCTGGGGGCCTTTCTCCATGTCTTCCACAGAGTCATTCAAGCCACGCAAGCCTCACCCTGTGGCTCAGAGCTCTCCAGGCTTTGCCTCCATGCTGCAGTTCTGTTCCAAGGAGCAAGACAATCCCTGGCACCTCGAACCCTCCTTGGGCCTCTCCGAAGAAAAGAAGGAAAGCTTGTAAAGATGGTGCTGTTCGTGGGGGACTGGCTAGTAGCAGGAATATAGCTGTGATTTCACAGCCCGCATGGAGTCATCACAGGGCGCCTCTGAGCTCAGCCCCTCGGGTGGCAGGGCCTGGCCCAGGATGCTGTCACAGGGAGGGGCGGGCTGGCAGAACTCCCTCACGAAGTCCTCCTCTGAGGCCAGCAGCACCGCGTTCCAGGCGGTGATGTCCAGCTCTCCAGCCGTGCCCCCGTATTCCCTGGGGAGGATGTTTCTTGGAAGGTTTGTGTGGAGAGAGTTCAGGTCAGACCCGTGAAGGAAAAACTACAGAGAATGACAGGAAAGCACACAGGTCCTTGGGTTAATCAGTAACCTTTACTGGGAGGCGCTCAACCACACATCTGCTGAATGAATAAAGGAACGCTTGATGCCACCTCTGCTCTACCAGTGCCACGAAAAGCTTGAGAATCCTTCATCCTCTTTTCCTTGTATCCTGTATCCTCTTAGCTGGTACTTCAAAATATGTCCAGAATTCTGACACTTCCCTGCTACCCTAGTGGGACCAGGTCATCATCCCTTCTTACCTGGATTCTCAGAGCATCTTCCTCGGCTCTTTGCTTACACCCTCGCCTTGTCCCACCACAACCTAAGCGCTCTTCAACATAAGTCAGATCAAGTCACTCCTCTAAAACGTGCGGACTTCCAGTGCACCCATCTCACGCAGACTAAATACCACAGTCCACGTGATGGCCTGCACGGTCTGGGCTCTTCCACCTCTGCCTCCCATTCCTCCCACACCTCCCTGCTGCTCCTCCAGGCCTGCTTCCCCCTCTTCCCGCCCCACTCAGAGCCCCCCAGATCCCTGTAAGGCTCATTCCCTCACTGCATTCATGTCTTCGCTCAAACGCCAACTTCTCAATGACACCACCTCTGATCATCCCACAGAATACTACCACTCCTTTCCTTCTTCCAGAACCTGCTGTCTCCTTTCTCTGCTTTATTTTTCTCCATAGCATTAGCACTAGATAACAGACATAACTCACTGTCTGTCTCTCTAGAATGTAAGCTTCTTAGGGGCAGAGATTTTTGTCTGTTTTATTCATTGAGAACATACCTGCACAAAGCTGATCAAAAAATATTTCTGAGTCAATGAATTAACATACAATGGACCAAGTGAACAGATTATTGAACATTAGTAAGGTCATTTCATAGATGTAAAAGACCTTGTCCAAAGACTGCTTTGGTACAAGCAGGTTCCAAACAGAAGCTCCAGGAAGAAACATGGGTTCAAACCCAGGGTGGGAGGCCACACTGAGAGGTCCTCAATCTTAACTGCATCAGAATCACCTAAGGAAGTCTTAAAAGCACAGGTTCCTAGGCTCTACCCCTGAACCAATGAGTTAAAATCTTTGGGGAAAGGGCCTGGTAATCCGGATTTCAAGTTCCCTCCCTCACAAATGAGATTCTACATTTCCTCTTTGAAAGAAAGAACAAAATTGAAGAGTATGTGAGTAACCATAACCATTTTCCTAGGCCTAAGAAAGAAGGAGAAAAATACCACCCATCATATTTTAATCACGGTCCTTGGAAAGTTTAAAAGATCACTGGCTCTTCAGGGTCAGAAGAAAACTGTCTTTTTTGGTTTTTTTTTTTTTGGCTGCAGCTTGAGGCTTGCAGAATCTTAGCTCCCCAACCAGGGATTGAACCCAGGTCCCCTGGAGTGAAAGCTCAGAGTCCTAATTCCTCGACCACCAGGAAAGTACCAAGACTGTCTTTTTAAAGTGTCAGCTATCTTTTCTAACATAAAAATTAAACTATAAACTCACAGATCTCCTTGAACTGCTCTACAAACTTCACACAGTAAGACAACAAATTAAGTAAATGGAAAGGCTTAAACAATTTAAGCTATAGGGACTTCTCTATAGCTCGGATGGTAAAGAATCTGCCTGCAATGCAGGAGACCTGGGTTCGAGCCCTGGGTCTGGAATATCCCCTGGAGAAGGCAATGGCTACCCACTCCAGTATTCTTGCCTGGAGAATCCCATGGACAGAGGAACCTGGCGGGCTACAGTCCACAGAGTTGCAAAGAGTTGGACAAGACTGAGCCACTAGCACGCAAACAAAAATTTTAAAGCACAAGGAGCTGCAGTAAGAAATTGCCAGAACTCTTTTTAACTCCCCACCCAATGACCACCCTTTGCTACATCCTCATACATAAAATGGGCTTCCCTGGTGGCTCAGAGGGTAAAGTGTCTGCCTGCAAGGTGGGAGGCTTTGGTTCGATCCCTGGGTCAGGAAGATCCCCTGGAGAAGGAAATGGCAACCCACTCCACTATTCTTGCCTGGAGAATCCCGTGGACGGAGGAGCCTGGTAGGCTACAGCCCATAGGGTCCCAAAGAGTCGAACACCACTGAGCGATTTCACTTTCACTTTCATACATAAGATATGATGTTGGTTCACAATGCCCAGGCCAGGATATTAAAAAGCCTAAATGATCACAGAGCAGAGATGCTCCTACAAAAACAACCCTGGGTCTGCTCTCTCTACAGTCAAGTATTATCTTCCCATTAATTTAATCTTCCCTTCACAGAAAAGATTGTTCATCTGTTTTATCTGAAACCCTGCACTTTCCAACTCAGTAGTCCCAGGCAAGAATAATAAACTGGGCTTCTCCGGTGGTCTAGTGGTTAAGAATCTGCCTGGCAATGCAGAGGCCACGGACTCAATCCCTAACCCGGGAAGATCCCACGTGCCGTGGAGCAACTAAGTGCGCCCCAACTACAGAACCAGCACTCCAGAGCCCAGGAGCCACAGCTACTGAGCCCATGTGCGTCGAGCCTGTGCTCTGCAACAAGACAAGCCACTGAAATGAGAAGACCATGCACAGCAATGAAGACCCAGTGAAACAAAAAATAATAAATACGTAAATCTTTAAAAAGAAAAAAAAATAAGCTAAGTTTATAGTTGTTGCAACGAATTTAGAGATGTCACAGAAAAGGAAGCATAAAAAAAATGAAAGTATCTTTAAGTTGATAGGATCATCACTTACTCTGTTTGCTATCTTCTCCTTCAGGAATGGTTTTATGATGGCAAAAATACCTTTAAATATTCGAGGTTCATTCACTACATGGACTGCTTTTATCCGAATGGGGAAACCGTCCTGTGGGGGAAGGGAAGGGAATGTTAGAATCCCGATGTTAGAATCTGAAAACCGTCAGTTACCACAGCCTGCCTTCCCCATTTTTAGCCCCAACATCAGTCTGGTCTGATTCTCCTGGTCTCTTCAAAGACAGCACAAGTCAGGGCTAGACAGGAAGATGGGTCTCAGGCAAAGAGTCTGTCTAAGGACCCAGAGCTGGTTTAGGAAATGGTTAGGCAAGCAGGTGGAGAGCTGCCCTTCTTAGGGCAAAAAAGCAGTCTGAGCCTGTGTGGACGGATCTAACAAATATCAGGCCTTTTAGATCAGTATTACCCAACGTGTATTTCTCAGGATGTTACTAGCCTGTGATGCAAAAAGGGTTCTGTGGTAAGCAACTGAGTTTGAGAAACAGTAGACTAAATACAGTCAAACAGGTTTCCTTAACTGCAGGACCAGTCAGGCTTTCAGTTTGCAAATATTTATGTTGAAATTCACACGAAAGGGGGCATGCTATGCTGTATTTCCCAAACACACTTAACCCTGGAACATTTTTTGTCCCCCAGACCATGTTAAAGGACTAGAGAACCGCTGATTGAACGCATTATCCTGACACTTGAATCTGCACAATATCTGGCAGAAATAAAGAAGAGTGGAAGCTAAGGGAAGCCCGAGTATTACCTCCATGCCAGAATTCACATTTCTGATAATGACTGGAAGTGACATTTAAATGTTTAAATAATCAGCCTGGTATGCAGGAGAGGTTCAAACACTGTGGAATTTGATGGGGGAGAATCGTGGGATCACTGGTGCCCCCAGCTCACAGGAGACAGCACCCCGTTGACTGGGTCTGATGAACGAGGGTCCAGGCTGCCAGACTGCATCTGAAGGTATCTACTTCTATCAACAAGGGAAGATAACTCTTACCTTGTCTATCTCAGAGGATTCTCTGAAGGACTGAATGGCTTACCATGACTGTAAGTGTGCTTTGCAGCAACAACATATATTGGACAGCACAGGGAAGTATAGCTGTTATTTTGTAATAACTTTTAATGGCGTATAATCTATAAAAATACTGAGTCATTCTGCTGTACCCCTTAAACTAACATAAACTGTAAATCAACTATATACTTCAATTAAAAAAAACAAGCACTTTGCATGTGCAAACCATCTCACACACTGCGGATGCATGAGGAACTTTATGGTTCCCAGAGACTTGTGTTCTGAAATGCACAACATGAGGTGTGAAAAGCATCTGACCAAAACAGCCCAGCAGGGTTCCCTGTGCCCAGGTTCTACAGAAAAAACGAGAGGCTCCATCACCTCAGCAGAAACGTCTCAGTTTCATTTGTTGAGAATTTCTCTGTCTTCTGGGCCAAAAAAAACCCCAAACAAAAAAAGCAGAAAGCATTTCTCTGGTTTTGGGGCTCCTGTCCTAAAGCTGATTTTGCCCAGTAATTACTGGAGACCTTGATGAGAATGAGTGGTGAACTGGACTTTTACATTTCTTCCCATAGTGTTTTTGTATTGTCCTGACTGTGGGGAGGTGTGGGAGGTGGGGTTTGTGTATTAGGTGGAATTGGAGATAGACAGGGCCCTGGGAAAGACAAACAGCCACAGGACAGGCACATGACACATAGGAGCCATACCTGAAGGATGCCAATCACCTTTTTGGCTATAAAAGGGCCAAAATGAGATGCCTTTGATAAGCTCACTCCTTTGTAGTCTGCAAGAATTACAATTCCATTCACCTGGGTTTCTTCAGACTGAATGAGTTTCTCTAATGTCAGGTATACGGCTCGGATGTTTTCTGTAATTGGATAGTTGCTTGGGATCCACCTGTCTAAGGTCGTAAAAGATGGACAGTATGTTACAGAAATGAATACAAACACATAATCAGACAGGCTAGGATTTATCTCCTTCCTAAACCATTGCTTAAAAGTGGAAAAGAATTCTACTGGCACGACTATTTAGATCTTTAAGTGGGAGCTGATGCTTCTTGACTCCAAACATAGCAGCACATTCTGAAATGGAAAAGCAATTGAGTGTTGAAGATGAAATCGTGAGCTCTGAAGTCAGACACACCTGGGGGTTTGAATCTTCCTAGCTGTGTGACCTTAGCCAAGTTTTCTCCTCAGTCTGGGCCTGCGTCTCCTCCTAAGTCGAATGGGATAATAATGCTTGCCTTAATGGACATGTGCACCTTCTGCCAACATAAGCGCCCTTATCTTCGTAAGACCACCCTCATCTTCCTTGAGCGGAATCACTTCTTCCCATGCTAGCCATACTGCGTGTGTAAAGTGACTTCACTTCTGGGTCCAGAGGTGGGCTTGGCCAGTGTGGGCAGAGCATCCTCCTGGCCACAGCGAGTAATCCAAGTGAGGCCAAGCAAAGCACAGGGACTCAATTCCGGGACCTGGGCCCTTTGGAAAGAGAAGATCTCTCTTCTCTCTTGTGGGTGAGACTGGGAGCCTGAGACCCAGGGACCCATGAGGCAAGAGCTAGTCAGAGGATGAAGCCCAGACCAAGACAGCAGAGACGGAGATGGTTTCCCAATGGTGTAGCTTGAACAAACTCCCCTTTCCAGGCTGGTTGCTCCCTTAATGCTCCCCATATGATTGCGGAGTCTTTTTCTCTTTGGGGAAAAGATGAGAATGACAACTTTTGAGTGCTAACTACTATTCTCAAGAAAATCCCACCAAGATACGTGTGTCTCTTTCTTAGAAAGATAAACCTCCACTGGATGGTCCCCAATGAGATTTGTGACATGTGCAAAATTTCTATACAAGAAAACCTTTGTCCAAAAATTGTGCCAGCTTGCTGTTTGGTAGTGCTGCCAATTAAACCTGCTTCTGCATGCTGGCTATCATCCTTTTCAATCACATATGTCTCAAAAGAACTTACAAAAAGGCAAACCTGACACCTTCCAGATTTATTTCACACTGAAGTGAAGTGAAAGTCGTTCAGTCGTGTCTGACTCTTTGCGACCCCATGAACTATACAATCCATGGAATTCTCCAGGCCAGAATACTGGAGTGGATAGTGGTTCCCTTCTCCAGGGGATCTTCCCAACCTAGGGATCGAACCCAGGTCTCCCACATTGCAGGCAGATTCTTTACCAGCTGAGCCACCAGAGGAGCTAGCTGAGAATAAAATCTGTCTGCCTCCTGCTAAAATGTTGAGTTGGTGGGGAGGTGTTCAAATCTGCTCCAGACATATGGGGGGTGGAAATCCATCTAAGGAGCTAAGAGTTGAAACCATGCAAGCAAAGAGGCGAAACCAGTGTGGTAACATCTGACTGTTCTGTAATATTCATATGAGTTGAGTACAGAGGAGCAGCAGAACTCCCATTGGCTGGTTTCTAGGTTTCCTTGTGCCCTGACCTCTCCACCACATTGTTTATTGTAAAATGCATGCACGCATGCTCTGTTGCTCAGCTGTGTCCAGTTCTTTGCAACCCATGGACAGCAGCTTGCCAGGCTTCTCTGTTCATGGAACTTTCCAGAAGAGAATACTGGATTGGGTTGCCGTTTCCTCCTCCAGGGGATCTTCCCAACCCAGGGGTGGAACCCCTGTCTCCTGCATTGGCAGGCAGATTCTTTACCACTGAGTCACCTGGGAAGCTCTGTTTTAATATGAATACCCCCTAATTTTGGAAAACACCTAAAATAGCAGGTAAAACAGTTAATACTGTGCCTGGTATGTAGTAAAGGCTCACGAGAATATGGCTGATATCCCAACAAGCTTTGGTAAATGACTAAAGGAAATGGTAATGTGGGGTCTCAAGGCAGAGGGAGGCTTCCACTCCCCATCAGCTGTCCCTTCAAGAAGTATTTGCACAGAAGCAGAAAGGGTGGCCAGCAGGTTCTCATGTTCCTGGCATGTTTGGGAAGAAGAACAGAGCCATCTTACTTTCACACTTGTTCTCAGCTTGGCCCTGACGGAAAATACTGAGGCAGGGGGAAGAGCAGAGAACTCTCCCGAGTGTACTATGTATTTAGGGTCAGGGAAGAAGGAGAAGACGACGGAGAATCAGAATGCTTGAGTTCTAGGAGCCCTCGGTCTCTGTGTTAACCGAAGTCTTCTCTCACATTTCTGATACTTTGGTGGGAGAGGGAGCAGGGAGAAAACTACCCCCACTGCAAACTTCTGCATCAAGGAAATGTCAGGCGTTTCACTTACCATCATGCACTGCTGAGATGGAAAAGTGCATCTGAAGTGAAGCTTTTCACTGACTTCAAAAAGCAGAGGGGAGGGGGGAGAAGTCAGAGGAGGCAGGCAGACACTGATATCTGTACCTCACCTGCTCCCTAAGGGCTGACAGGGTGGGGGCGGGGGTGTCCCGGCAGCCCTGCTTAGACCCGAGGATCAGGGTTGCTTTCTCAGCTCACCTGATTCCAAACCCTAGAAATCTGGAATCTGCAGTGAAGGAACATAGTTGGGCGGCCAGCTAAACCTGGGAGCTGAGGGGTGTACAGAGGGGCCAAAAGCCGGCACTCGGACTGAAAGCTGAGGTGTGCAAAGGGCAGCAGGAAACGTGGCACTGAGGGACGCACAGACTGGCAGAGGCAGAGGCAGGGAGAACGGTGGTCTCGGCTCCTGCGGTCTCAGGAAGCATGCTGGCCCTAGCTCCTGGGGCGGGCGAGCACCGTGCTCCCTCAGCTCTCTGCTGCTGTGCTCCCGGCTCCTCAGACTACATCCTCCCTTCGTCTTACGTCAGTAGAGCAGGGTTCTGTTCTCCTGCCGTCAAAAGAGCCTTGACTGAGGCCAGGAGGGGACAAAAGGGAATAAGACACACGCGCGCACAGACACACACACAGCGCCCTGGGCAGGGGCATCCCACACTGTACCCACACCCATCCCTCCCGCGCCCCCGCAGGGAGCGGTACCTGGGCGGAGGCAGAGGACGGGGCAGCCCCTGGGGTCGGTGTGCGGCAGGACGGTGAGGAAGCCGGAGGCCAGGACCTCCTTCAAGGCAGAAGGCCGCAGGTCGTTGAAGACTTCGGGCCAGCTTCTCCGGCAGCTGTGGTAGTTGATGAGCAGCTGGAGGGCCCGGTCGTAATCAAACTTGCGGGCGCGGAGGAAGCGCAGCAGGAAGGCGTCCTCCAGCGAGGTGCTCAAGTGGGGGCACTCCTTGCGCACCATGTCCCGCAGGGCCTGCACGTCGCGGAGCCTCCATTCCGGCTTCTCCTGCAGCTCCTCCCTGGCTTTGGCCACCAGGTCCTCGGTCAGCGAGCACACATAGCCGGCGGGGGCGGAAGGCGGCGGCAGCTCATTTTCCGAAAGCGAGGCCGCAGAAGGGCTGGTTCTCAGCGAGTCACTTTCTTCTGACATGAGCTCCCAGGATCCCTGCGAAACAGAAGCCCTGCGTGATGCCCAGAAAGCCCGGCACTGGCATCGGTCACTCCAAACCCCTGATGGGCGTGAGGGAGGGGGGCAGCGATGCTGTTGTCAAGCCAAAACTCTCAGAGCAGTGGTTCTCTCCTGGAGGAGTATCTGAACCACAGTCCAGCCCAGCCCAGCCCAGCCCCGGGGTAGCTCCAGCAGGATACACACACCCCTCATCACACACACAGACTTTGCTCCAGCACCCCTCAACACACACACACACACGCACACACACCTTGCTCCAGCAGGATACACGCACCTATCACACACACACACACACCCCTTGATCACAGAGGTGTGATCATCACACACACACACACACACACACCCCTTGCTCACAGAGGTATGATCATCACACACACATACCTTGCTCAGAGGTGTGATCATCACACACACACACCTTGCTCACAGAGGTATGAACAGGTGCTTGACCTTACTGGTAATTAAAGAAATGGAAACTAAAACCCCTTTGAATCTCAGATTAGCAAAAATACAAAACAGGGATTCTGATGGGCCTGTTGTTTGTGGGAGAATAAATTGGCATAGCCTCTCTAGGGCAGTGTGTCAATAGTTATCAAGATTCCAAACCACATCCCTTACAGATGTCATATGGTTTCATTTACATGTGGAATCTAAAAAAAAGGGACACAGATGAACTTATTTACCAAACAGAAATATACTCACAGAAATAGAAAACCAGCTTATGGTTACCAAAGGGGGAAAGACAGGAGGGATAAATGAGGAATTTGTCATTAAGAGATACACACTGCTATATGTAAGACAGATAATCAACAAGGACTACACAGACTATATTCAGTATAATACCCTGTAATGGAAAAGAATATGAAAAATAGATACATATGCATAACTGTATCACTCTGCTATATACCTGAAACATTATAAATTGACTCTACTTTGATTTAAAAAAATATATGCTTTGGCTCAGCATTCCATTTCTATGTACTTATATGTGTGTGTAAAATATGGATGATCATTACAAGTATTAACTGTAATGGCAAAAGACTGAAAATACTTTACCTCCATCCTCTTGTTGGAGACTAGTTAAATAATATTACCATATGCACAGAATACTATTTAGTAATGAAAAGGAATTAAATAGATCTTTATGAATTGACATGTTAAGGAAAAAAAACAGGTTGCAGGACAGTGTGAATAAAAAGACTTGTATTTATATTTAAAAAATACATACTTGTGAATGCACCTAAAATTTTTGGAAGAAAGTACAAGAAAACTGTTAACCATGGTTCCCTTTAAGGAACAGAACCAGACACTGAACATTTAAGAGGAGAAAAGGAGATTCTTCACTGCCCTCTTAAATTTTTTACCATACCCACACATGACTTAGCATGGTGGCTGTGAAACTGATCAGATCTCCTGCGGGGGTGGAACGTAACTGATGGGTGTCCCAGCTGCTGTCCGTCTGGATCCACCACCTAGTGGATGTACACTTTCCAGACTGAACCCAGCCAATGACTGAGTGAAACGTAGGACTCCTCAAACAGGCAACTTTACCTTGATGATCCCCTATCAGCCTGGCCGGATCTTTACTGCAGTCCAAGACTTCTTGCCCAAACCTCCTGCACAGGGACCAGGCTCACATAGCTGTCTGAAGCTCTCCCTGATTTCTCCAATTGCCTCTCCCTTTTATGTGTTGCCACCATTAAATTTCTTCCATCTGTATTCTCACCCTAGTGTCTGCTTCTTAGAAAAGCTGAACTAACACACTTATTAAATGGAAAAAAACCCCAAAACAACGTAGCTGCCTTAGATATTCCAGGAATAAGGTCCCAGCAAGGCTGCCCAATTCTGAAGCCCAAGCTCTTCTGTCCATGGGCTCTCATTCTTCCCCCTCTCTGAGCTCAACAAGGAAGGCAGGGGTCATCTTGGGGCCTCTGTGCATAGCCAGTCTTCCCCACAGGCCACTGCAGCCACAGTGACCAGGCCACCTCCTCCAAATCTTAGGTCTGCCCACTATGTCGCTTGTGTGCTAACCTCCAGCCCTACCCAGCTTCTTTCACTTTCTCCCAAAGGTGGTTTTCTTGTCTTTGCACATCCTGTTTTCTCTGACTAGCAGGCTTCTCTCCAGTGCCTCTGGCCAATACCAATTCACCCCATTAGATGTCACTTCATGCATTCAACAGATACCAAGCACTTAATAGGTACCAGGCCCTTGACCAGGCACTGGGGGATATAGCAGTGAGCAAAGAAAAACTCCTGCCTTCACTGAGCTTACATTTTAATTAGGGAGACAGAATATAAGCAAAATAAATTGTATAGTCTACTAGAAGATGATAAGGGGGGAAAAAAAGATGATAAGGGCTATGCAGAGAAATAAAGCAGGCAGGGAGTTGCAGGCAAGGCGGGGGGCGGGGAGTGGGGGGTGGATGTACCTGGAGATAGGAGTTGCAGTTTTAAGTAGGGTGATCAGGGAAGTCCTCACCCTGATCAAATGACATGTCTGCAAAGATGGAGATGAGGGAGCAAGCCATGTAGGTCTGTGGGGGGAGGAAAGTGCCAAGCCTGAGGCAGGACCATGCCTGGCTTTTTCAAGGAACAGGGAGGAGACCAGTATGGCAAGAGCCAAATGCACAAGGCGGAGAATATTAGCAGACGGATTTAGAGAGGAAGTGGGGTCCCAAATGGTCCTGGGCTTTGTAGGCCAGTAAGAGCTTAGTTACTCTGACTTTGGAGGGTTTTGAGTAGAGTGACATGATCGGATTTAGATTTTAAAAGGATCACTGGGTTGTCTCGAGAATGTAAGAGGATGACTGTAAGATGATGAGGACAGCAGCAAAGAGACCATTTAGAGGCTACTGAAATAATCCAGGTCACGGATGACCGCGTTTGAAGCAGGGAAGACGTCTCTCTCTGACTCCGTCAGTTTAGGAGCACCCCGCGCCCCCTGCAGGAACTCTGTGACATAGCACCTCTCTCACTGTGGCAATTGTAGGCAATTTGTGTGCAATATCCACAACTGTCTTGTTTATCACCTTAAACACAGCACGTAACAGGGTGTCAGACACATTGTCTGCGCTGCATAAATATTTGTTGAGTGAGTTTAATCTGCTTGGCAGAGGTATGCTGAGTGAGGAACAGATCAACAATCATGGTTCACAGGACCCACCCTGGGCTCTGTTTTCTTGGGAGTCGCCAACAGATGCCCGTAATTCCAATCCATTTCTTAGCCAGAAAACTGACTGCAGTCCATGGACTACAGACCTAGCCTTAAAGTCCCTCTCCAGCCTCTCTCCCACCTTTCCTCCTCTCAATGCACATTAAATGTCAGTCAAAACAAATTAATGATCAAACTAATGAACACCTCATGCATTTCTGATACCTCTGTCTGTAGTTTCCTCACCTCATTTGTTTCCAACCAGGCAAATCATCACCTTCCAGGCCTAGCTTCAATGTCACCTCCTCTATGAAGCCTTCCTTGACTTCTCCAGGGTAACTCCAGTGTTCCACAGCACTGGGTTCCTATTTCTCTTTTAGAAACTGCAGTCCAGTGTCATGTGTTTATCCGAAACTCTTCTGAGTCAGTTTTACCCATCCATTCATTTATTAAATAATTACTGATCACCTGTGGCAGGCACTACGCTTAGCAGTGCTGTGCACACAGAAACATACAACATAATTGCTTGCTTTATGAAATTTAGCTCAGTGGAATGATGACAAGAGATAATATGTTCATGCATGTTTTACCATGTATCGAGCACTATGATTAGCATTTTACATCCATCTCTTGTTTAATCTTCACAATACTTGGTGAGAACACTAATACTGTTAACTATTTTACAAAGGGGGGATCTGCTCACTAGAATGTGAATTTCATGGGAGCAGAAAAATTGCCTCTTACATTCATTGCTCTCCCAGCGCTTGGACCATGACGGTGCTCTGTAAATAACAGTGGATGATGCGAGGAAGGGCCCAAGGGTACCCATCGCGTGAAGCAGAGCAAAGACGTGTCCAGCCCCACAGTGGGCTGCACCTAGAGCTTCCAGTTTAATCTCCAGGGCCCTGGCGGTATCGAATACAGCGCACGACCCGGTCAGTCTGGTGAAGGAATTCTTGGGTGGGCATATAGATGGGTGCAAACACCATTTGTTACGGGGAAGCCGGGAATCTTCCTCACTTGGAGCCTAACATTTTTCGAGCATCATCTTCCTCCCCACCCTCCCCCAAGAAGAGGTCAGGAACCCACCGTTCCTGGAACCCCAGAGACCCACGTCCCGTCGACAGCCCTTCGAGGCCCCCCACTTCCGGTTGTCACCCCTTCCCCAGGGGTCCCTGTTTCCTGGGGTCTCTTTCTACGCGGGTGCCCCACTTCCGGTCATCCCTCCCTCTCAGGGGTCCCTCTCCCCGGCTCCCGGGGCACACGGGCTCACGGGCACTCACCGGCCCGGCTACGGGGCGGAGCGCGGGTCAATCGGCGGCGGGAGCCTCGTCCGGCAGCGCGCACAAAACCGACCCGCACTCCCTGCCCAGCCGGCCCGGCGGCTCGCGCCGGAAGTGACGTACGCAGAGCGTGGGAAGGCGGGGTCCCGCCCCCGTGAGTGCGCATGTGCGACCTCTCCTGGAAGGACTGGTCTTGAGTCCCCACCTGGTGGCAGAAAGCGCACCACGGGTTCCTGAGCCTGGGGAGAGGCTGGCTGAGAGGCACCAGTTTCGGCGGCGTAGGTGGGGTAGCTGAGGCCTCGAGAAGGAAGAGAAGGAGCTGCTGTTTTCCTAGAACATATTAACTATGTTATCTGGTGTATTACATCCCTTACCTCATTAAATTCTCAAACGGAATCCTGCTATTTTATGAAAGGGAAACAGAGTCAACCAATGAAGTATAGGGCTTCAAACCTAGATCTCGGGGTTAGCATTTCAGAATTCCGGAGCTGCCTCCAGGACTGGCTGCTCCAAAGGTTAAGACTATATAC